GGGGAACGCGCTGGATCGACGTCCCAAATGTTTCCCCTCAGAGCACCATTTTGCAGCCCAGCTCCACTGGGAGCAACAGCAACCCGCTGGGGCCGAGTCTGGACTTCACTCTCCTACGACAAAGGGGCACTGATCGCAGAGCCTGCCTGCCGGGCTGCTCCCCCAAAATAACGGTGCATTCTTCTTATGCAGGGACTGCTGCCTTTGAAAGAGCTGAACGTGTGTGAAATTGAGCACGGGAAGAGCACTGGGCAGGAGGATCACGCTTTCCGCATTGCAGGTTGGTGCCTCTTTGTTTGCTCTGAGCAGAGAACGGCGGGTGGATGAATCACGACCGTCTCTGCTCTTTGTCCCGCTCTGACCTAGTCCCAGAGAAGAACCACGTTGTGGAAAGAGGTTGCAGAGAGCTGAAGCTCTTCCTCCCAGCGTTTGCATCTTTCCCTCCAAGGCTTCCCTGCTCCTAAATGCCTGGACAGAGATGCCCAGGGCAGCAGGCAGGGAAGGGACAGGTTAGGGGGTGCGGAGGAAGGATCATCCTGTGCTCCAGCTGGTTAGTACTCAGGACACAGGGTGACAGTTCCCACCTCTGCCCAGTCATTTGCTCTCTGTGCACCACATTTGAACGAAGGACTGGAATAAAACTCCTTCACCCACCTCTCATCATCATATAACCCCCGAGGGCAGGGAGCGACTCCGAGCAGGCACGTGCCCAGCGCTGTGCGTGCTGATGTACGGCACGGCTCGGGCGCACGGGGTGGGCAACGGTGCCCAGAGGTGAGTTGCTGCTACCAATAATGCCAGGCTGGTGCTACCAGGCCCCAGTGTCACTTCACCAACTCTTATCTCACCAGTGCTCCTGCCTCCACAAGCTTTTTAAACTTTTCTCTGAGTGGTCTTGCTTTACGTAAGTTTTTCTGGGGTGACGACCTGTCTGCAGCTCGGCTGGAGGCTTCTTTGGGCTTAGTTATTGCTGAATTACAGCCATCACAAGCCCCCAAGAGTAGCAGTTAAAGCATGAAGCACACAGAAGCGAGTAGATAACCCAGTAATGATACAGAGCCAAGAAAACTCATTTGTGTCCTGGGCCCCCTGTCTACGTACTCTGGTGTCCTCTGTTAGAGAGAAAGTTATACAATGGCCACTCAAACAAAAAAAAAAATATAAATTATAAAAAGGAGCTGGTACAAAAGACCCATTTTAATTTTAAGGACTGCTGAGTTGTGGTCTTGGTACACTGTACTCGGCAGAGCTTTCCAACCCTTCTTGGGAGTCTGTAAAATGAAGGGAAACTTCTCCCAGGCGTAACCTGTCAGGGGCGTCTGCACTGGGGTGGATGGACTTGTTCTGCCTGTATTAAAACATGCAGGAGTGTGGCTGGGTGGAAAATTGCCTCAAGCTTTGTTGGGTTTGCGTCCTGCTTAGGGAAGGAACAAACCAAAGCCTTTCTCTCAGAGATGCTGTATGTATCAGGAAGCAGTGACACAAAGAAACCAGGGAAGTGGAGATATTTGGGATTGCTGGGAGATCAGTGGAGCAATTTTATTCTTCTGCTAGAGGGGGAGAAATCAAGGCACGGAGGGGGTAAGAGCCTTGTGCGTGGCCCCACACAGGGTCAGGGTGGAAGTGTTTAGTCTCATGACTCTGAGACACAAAAGGCACACATCCATTCTCTTGTGAAATCAGCAGTTCCCCATGAACTGCATTTTCTAGGGTAGTTCAGTACAGCAGAAGGCGCTGGCACGGTCTTTGGAAGTGTGGAGGTGGAGTGCGTGAACGCCGCGCGGCAGCGTGCGGAGCCGTGCCCTGGTGCGGTGGCACAGAGCCGTGGGGGGCGGCTGGCCACCGCCTCGGCTGTGCGGCCCCTCTCGCACAGCCTGTGGTGCGAACGAAGCTGTTGAGCACCTTGAGTTACCTCTGCCTCACCCGCAAACGATGCAGCTTTTTAGTGTCTCCAGACTGAGAGACTTGGTGGCAGTCGACATCTCCCTGGGTGGGAGTAAACCGCCGCTGCTTCGGGAAGGGGCTTTCTCGCTTCCAATGTTCCTCTGGAAGCCTTCACAGAGAAAAGAGGAAGGACAGGGGCAGAAGAAAAGAGCACGAGGGCTGGCACAGGTTGCTCAGCACCGCTGTGTCACGGCGCTGCCACAAACGTGCCCTTGGGGCCCAGGGAGATGGCAGGAACTGAATGAGCAGCAGCCTTTCAAGCTCTGCTTCACACGAGCTTCAGGCATGTCTCATGCTTCCGGCTTAGGCAGGGATTTCTTTTCTCGTTTTCTCTTCCTTTGGGGCCCTGTTTAGATGTGGCAACGCGAACAACCCTCAGGATACGTCTGGAAGGCTGGCCTTAGAGGAGGTGGCAGAGCAAGCGGTGCCATGCTAAGGGTCATGCCCTGCCAGCAGAACTCCTGCTGTTTGTATAAATGGATGCCCAGAGAAGTGTTCAGAGCTGCCAGAATATCCAGATGATGCTAGCACCTTTATGCCCTCCTAGCATCTCTATAAAGTAGGGAATCACTTTATCTCCGTTGTAAAGACAGGGAAACCGAGGCAAGAGAATTCCAGAGCCACGGTGGTACATAGACACTTGGGTGCCCGGTAATGCTTGACACCTAATTACTGTCATGGATCTAAACAGTGACCTATGGAAAGGCACTCAGGGAGTCTCTGCCTTAGTTTCCCCACCTCTGCTTTATCTGAGTGCGTTTCCTGACAGACAGAGGTGTTTCAAAGTCTTAATTGACTGTTGTTCATAAATAATGCAGGAATTATGGGATGAAAGGCTCCACAGAAGGGCAAAGTATCACGCTTATCCAGTGCACTGGCTTATCTGAATACTTCCAAGTCCCGCAAAGCCAGATCTTACTGAGCATGCACCAAGTATGGTTTCGTATGAGATCATTGGTAAATTATTAATCATAACATACATTCTGCAGCCTGCCAGCAATGATTATTAACGTCACCAGGTTATGTCTGTAGTGAGTAGCAGAGGGTGTGTGAGATTTTTCTGCTCGTGCTACTCAGTGAATGATAGCTGGAAACATTAAAATCCACAAGATATAGGGCTGTTCCTCCCTTCAAGAGGAGTCTGAGAGCAGCTTCAGCTTGTCTGGCACAGGCTATATTTGGTGAAGCAATAAATAAACAGTGTCAGGAAGCTACCGGTGTTCTACATGCTGAGTGCCAAAGTGAAACTAGGAAATAAGTTAATAGAAATAGTTATTTAATAGACAAACTCACCATTTGCATTGAGTTAGGCTGTCTGCAGCAGCATGTTGTGATAGTCTCTGCCCGCAGAGATGCTTTTCACAAACTGTCGGGGGCTTTTAACGCTGAAATCTGTTGATTTCAAGCTTGACTTTTGTACTGCCTTTGATTTTTGTTCTCGGCCTGGTTTTGGACTGAGGAGGGACTGCTGGTCGGAGCTAGATGTGGCTGCCTGAGCAGGCAGTGAGAAGGTGCCGGAGCAGTCCCTGCCGGGGAGCTCCCCAGCAGCCCGGTGTGAGGCTCAAGGTTGTGGCGGGAAGGAATGCTGTCATTCAACGTGCTCCCAGGCATCCCATGGTGTGATGTGCCGAGCATAACAGCTCTGGCCAGCTGATTACGTGTTGATGTTGTAATTGGTGCCCTTATCTGCTCAGCTCATCTTGTGCCTGGCATACCTAGGTCCTCTGCTGAATCCCCTTATCGTGTTCTGCCCTACTGAGTCAGAGCTGAAGCAGTGGCTTTATCACCTGGAGAAGCAGATCCAGCTAAATGGAGGAAGCCTCGGCTTGCCCTTCCTCTCTCAGGTTAGTGTCTCGGGACGGTGAGGTGCGCAGCCGTTTCCTTGTGGGCTCAGGACCGAACGACCAGGGAAGCTGGGCCACTTGGGTGGAGGCTGCGCTGCTCCTGCTGCGTTCAGTGGCGGGGGGGACAATCTCTGCAGCCAGCCTCTCTCAGCCATTTTCACCACTTTTCTAAGCACTCCCCTAACACCTTCCTCTTCCAGCATCCTGAGTGCCCCATGGGGCTCTGGGTGCCTCCTCCGGGCTGGAGAGCTTGAGCAGAAGGCTGGGGATGGAAAGGGAGAGGGGCTCTGGGTCCACTTCCAAATGCTCCTTGCTGTGCTTGCTGCTCTTTCAAAACATTGGAAGGAGATGTGGGGTTAACTCCTGGCCTAACCCCCTTTTTTCCAGGCCAGCTGCTTGAGTGCTTCGCAAGACCAGTCAGGGCGCTGCCCCTCTGGCATGGTGCACAGGGGTTTTTTTGTGCCACTTGTACCAATTTCAGCAGCTCCCGGGGCCATGCACGGTCCGTAATTCAGCCCTTCGCATGCGTTGATCCCAACTGAACCCCACTCCACCACCAGTCGTGCCAGAGCACTGGCCTGGGCCAGCGCAGCAGCGTGGCAAGGGCTTCTGTGTGACCGTGGCTGCTCGCTGCCCGAGGCACCCGCCTGATGCCAGTGCCTAGAGCTGACCCTGGGCAATACACCTCACCTTTAGTTGTTCCACCACCACTAAAATAACCGTGGATAGACGTACTAATTACCCACGCTTGACAGACACGTTCTTGTTGGGGAACTCCTCTGCCTGTGGAGGAACCGCGTCGTTGTGTCGATGTGGCCCTAGGTCTGTGCAACCCACGCCGGGGTGAGGGAGGGATTTCAGTCTGAATGGCAAGCCCAAAGGTGCTCCGTCCTGCTGAGGCCTGACAACAGCTCGTTTCTGCTGCGTGCGTGCGTGTGTGCGCACGGCTTCTGATTTCGGGGCTCGTCTTCTGTGCAGTGCGAGGGAAGGGTGCAAAAAGAAAGGCTTTGCAAGAGGGGCTGACAGGGGGTGTGTGCTGAAAGGGAGACCTGTGACCCAAAAGCGCCACCACCACCGCCTCTGAAGGGTCAGAGGTTTGGGTCTGGTTCAGAGGAGTTCTCACACGGTTGTCTGCTTGTGCAATTATCCAGAGTTTACAAAACATGTGGAGGAGGAGACTGGCACCGGGACCTAGAAAATAAGACCAGATTCAAGAGATCTGTCTTCTCTTCCAGTCTCTGCAGGGTGTTTTCCTTCCCTCCCTGTCCCCATCTCCCCACTTACAAAATCCCTTTGAAAGGCAACGTACAGATGACAATGTACACACGACTAGGTACCAAGTGTGATTATTCAATCCCAGCTGGAAAACTGGCTCCTGCACAGATTTATTTACACTTTCCTGCTTCTGCCACCCTTGAAAAGTGTCCTGAGATGGGCTGTGTGCTAGCTAAACTCTTAGGGGAGGACATGTCTACCCTGCTTCTCAGTTCTGCTCCTGTCCCTAGAACGACTGGAAGCAGAGCTCCATGGGGAAGGAGGAGCTGCGGTGGTCCGTGCAGAACATGCCTGTCCAGGAGTGGAGAGGGACCCAGCGGGAATCCCTAGGCGATGTCCTCTGTGTTTCCAAAGTGAAGCTTCAGCATCTGCCTTTCCAGGTAGGATGCATCTCTGGGGAGCAACCTCCTGTCGGCACAGCTCAGAAAAGGCGATGGATGGAGTGACTAGCGCAGACTCCTGCCTACCTGCTGCTGCTAATCCAACAGGCCCCTGAAGGGTCATTTTACCCACATCCCCGTAAATGGGAAAAGGTTTGTTACTGCTCCTGTGGCGTAGCGGTGGGGACAGCACGTGCATAAGCATTTGCAGGACAGGGCTGGCAGCTGGGGTTGGCAGGAATCTCCCGTGGAGCTCAGCTGCAGGGAAGCAGTTTGGCTCTTTCCAGAGCCCTTGCCTCAGGCTGCTGTCAGAGAGACAAAGTAAAGCCCTCTCCAGCCCTGAGCCCTGTCTGGCTGTTCACGGGGGAACCCTCTTCTTCTTTTCTTTCCAAGGAGCAGCATGACCGGCTGCTGGTGCTTTACCCATCCACACTGGTGATCGTATCTGAAGAGCACAACAGCCTCTGTTTTAAGGTAAGTTCATCTTGGAGCACCTTCCTGCTCTCTCTCTCGCCCATCCACAGCGGCTATTGCAGCACTTCTTTGGCTTGCTGCTCCCCTCCACCTGGGTTCCCTTGTGCTCCTTGTGTTGGCAAGGGCTTTCCCTCCACGCTGCTGCCCTTGCCAGCTGGCAGGTGAGCAGGCAGAGGGATGGTGCAAGCTCTCTTCCCATGAGAAACACCTTGCCCTCCTACAAAAGCCCCGGGGGAAAGGAGCTGGCTGGCAAGGAATCTGAGTCTCTGGGAGGAGGGAGGCTGGCATGTTTCTGTGCGGTTACGCTGGCAGAGAGCCTGGCTTGCTTGCTTGAGACAGGAGCTGGAACAGCCCCAGAGAGTGCCCCTGCGGGGGCTTTGCTTCCCAGGGCTCCGTCGGGAGCAGGTAGCATCCAGGCAGCACAGCTGATGCTCGTGGGGAAGGGCAAAGGCAGGGAGTTGGCTGGCGGGCAGAGAGGAGAGGCTGCTGCTGGTGGACCAAGGGCCCTGAGCAACGTCTGGGCACGTCGGCGGAAGGGCCAACGAGGACGACGTGGAGGCCTGAGCGCCCCAGGGGATGTGAGATGAGCTTCTCTAGTCCCCTGGTGTGTCTTTGCTTGTAGGAGCAGCGCTGTGAGCCTCAGCACAGACGGGCAGTGGCACTGTGGGCCCCGGGAGCTGCATTCGCATTGCCTGCAGTCTGAATGGCCCTTCAACTTGTTTGCCAACATCCATCTTAGCCACCATTGCAATGGGTATTAAACAGCCCTGTGCTTTCTGGCCCAGTTTTCCCGTGCTGGAACAAATGTGCCCGAAAGAGCGCTGAACTGTCTGTGAACCTGCACGTGCAGCACCACCGGCACATGGCGGAGCGCAGCCGAGCTGCTCCTCCAGAGGAGCATCCTCCTCCTTAGTCACTGAGAGAGGAGCCAGTGACAAGGAAACCCTGCAGAGATGGAGGGCATGCGAAATCCAGTGTGCACTCACTGGGGTCCTTCTTCACGTGGTTTCACCATGTCCACATCAGGCCCCCAGCCACGCAGGCTGCTTTTAATTCAAGGGACGACCTGCATAGAGCAGGCCAGAGGAGATGGCTGTGCCTGCAACGGGAAGGGGTGTCAGGAGGGACATACGCCAGAGCCAGAGCTCTCCTCCACCTCCAGTGCAACAGTGGAGGGTGTTTTCCAGCAGCTGGTGGCTTGGGTGACACACCTCAGTCAGAGCTTGTTTTCGGGAACACGTTGTTTGCGGCTCCTGGGAACAGGGCACCACGTAAGGGGGCCTTGGGCTGGGCTCTCAGATTAACTCATCTCTTTTGAAACGTTAAACCAGATTTGTCTGCCCTGTCCGCGCAACGTTCCCTTCCCACGGTGCATGAGTGTTGGTCCCTGGGCGTCTCGCTCGCTGGGGTGATGGCAGGAGCCGAGCGCAGGCAGGAGGTGATTCACCAGCCTGTGACACTGCGGTGGGAACCTGATTTTCCACAGGCATGTCAGGGCACAGGAGCCTTCTCCCAGGGCTTCTGCAAATTAACTTCCCTTCCCGGCGAGCAGACGCTGAGCCCTACAATTTGTGTGCGAAGGAATAGCCCGGCCCTTTTGTTCTTCGGTTTCGTACAAACCACGGGAGCTGCCGCTGCCAAGTTTGTGTGTGGGACAGGGAAGGGGAAGGCAGGGGCTGAGCCTGCTGGGATGGGGCTCACCCAAAGCAGCAGGCTCTGGCTCAACGCTGGTGGGAAGAGACCCTGGGCGAGGTGTAAATTAGGAAACGGGGAGCTGCTGAGGTGGGGGGCAGGTTCACGCCGTGCCCGGGGAAGGCTGGAGGGGCTCTCTGCAGCCAACGTGCGTGTTATTGGTGGGACGCTGCTGTGTGGGCTCTACACCCCAAGCGTTTCAGCCCCCTCCCACGCACAGGGGGCTGTTGCCTAGGGGAGGATGGAGCACCAGGCACCCGGGGGGAAGCCCTATGCGGTCATCCCCGGTGGCAGGGGGGGCTTGCTCGAACGTGCCGGAGAGCTGAGGGGCGGCAGGAGCAGGCGGCACCGTCCCCCTCCGCATGCAGCCTTGCAGCACCTACAGCAACAGGGGAAATCGAGTCACAGAGCATTGCACGAGCTTTCCCTCCCAAGGTCATCCATCCCGTGCTGCTCAGCCCATAAATCACTTTTGGTGCAGGAGAAATACCACAGAAGCCTGCGTGTGCCCACAGGCTGTTGCAGAGAGGCAGCCGGCCAGCACAAACCACGGATGCCCAGCTGAGCTCCACATTTCCCTTGTGGCAGAGCTGTCACGTCGGCCACATTCCCCAGAGCCTGGGCAGCTGGGACAGCTTTGCAGTGAGAGGACGTGATGAGGAGTTTCTGCCAGACACCTTGTTTTGCAGCCCGTAAACTTAGACAAATGGATCCTGACTGATTGCACCTTTCGAGAGGACTTTTGGCAAAATGACAGGGCTTCGCTCCTGCTTTCTGTGCTTCCTCCTCTGCCAGGCATGGAGGAGAGCAGCATGAGGTGGGATTTTCGCTTCCTGAGCACTCCCCAGACCCTGTGTTTGCCGCCTTGGCCAGGAGCTGCTCCCAGGGCCATTGCCACCAGCTGCCCCTGGCTAATGCTCCGTGCCCACAGAGCGGGTTAGGGTAACATCCAGGTGGGGTGAACAGGGGCTTAAGGAACAAAGAAACCATGTCACATCGTTTCCACCTGCTCAGAGAATGAGAGAGATGAGAAGTAAAGCAACGAGTTCATCTGTGAGTTGGTTCCTGTGCAAAATCTGCTTCAGCTGCTCTCCCAGGACTGTCCTCATTTCATTTCTGTAAGGAAAATTCAGCTTGTGGAGCCCCAAAGAGGAGACCTAGATCCTAATTCAGTGCTGACAAACCCTTGGCCCTTCTGCCAGCTTGCCCATCATGGAGTATTAAACTGTCAGCGAGGACACTTAAAGGACATCTGGCAGCAGGCAGCAGAGGTCTGGAACAGGCAGTCCTGTTCCTGCCCGTCCCACGGAGCTCACAGGAGAGCTGGGCCTGGCACAGACCAACGCCCGTGGCAGACGTGGGGATGGCCAAGGGACACGGAGTGATGGCAGAGAGGACAGTGGTGGATGTGCATGCAAAGCTACTATTGCACTTAGGAGCAATAGCACATGGTATCTTCTAACTCCGGTTTTCTCCAGGGACAGGCTGCTTTAGCTTCTCTGCTGCAGCTCCCTGCTAACGGGAACATACATGAAGTGCCTGCCAGGGGCAAACCCCGCTCTGATCACCGGAGCGGCATTCACAACCGTGCAGTGTAGCACAAGCGCTCACGTTTCACCAGCTGGCATTTACAGGGCTCAACCCTGTCTTTGTAAGGCTTTGCAGAGTATGGATTGTGAGGGTTCCTGTTTGCAAGGCTGCAAGTCCCAATCCAGCCACTGAAAACCTCATTCAGGACCCCGTTTGCGAAACTTCCTGGAGAAGTCGGCCGTTAAAACTGTGGGAAATTGTTGACAAGAGAACTAGAAGGGAAGGAGTGTTTTTCCAAGCTGAGATCTCAGGAGGGACTTTGTAAGGACAGAGCTTGCAGGAATGGCTCGCGCAGCCACGCTGGCTTCGGAGGCTTCGTTCCTGCAATGAGGCTGGTGGTGGGAGAGAGCGCTGTGAGCGGGGAGGGACAAGGCTGAGTCAATCTGCTGGAGACGGAGTTCTCCAACGTATCTGTGTCCCACACCTACAAGAGTATAGAGGTACCGAGTCCTTAGATTAACATCACCTCGGGTGCCTCTCATCTCCTGCAGAGCTGGCCTAGGCGATTTAGGCTCTGAGCTTCCTCTTCCTCCTCCCCTTCCCCACAGGGGACCCCGAGGGGCTTGCCAGCAGCAGGGCTGAGCTGCACCTTCTCCCCACGCCACACGAAGAGCAGCCAGGCTCCTGCCAGCCTCACCCTGTCCTCACCGCCGGCCCTGCGCTGGGGGCTCCCCTCCTCGTGCTCCCAGCTAAGCTGGCGAAACTTTGCAGCGGGCTCCTAAAGCCTCTTGGCTTCCCTGATGGGAAAGCCCCTGTGGAAGCAGCATTTTCCTGGCCAGGTGCCTGCAGAGGCTCCAGCCCTCAAGCAGACAGGAACAGCCACGTTGTCCTCCCTGCTCCGCCGTGAGCTGTGCTCAGCTGTCCGACCCTAAACCTGCTTCTCTCTCCAACAGGGTGAGCTGCCGCTCAATGCCATCCAAGTGCTTTTTGAAGAGAACGAGAAAACCTCCTTTTTGATTGAAGGTGCGTGTCCAGCATGCCGAGGGGTGCGCTGTCAGCAGCCACGGAGTTCTCAGGTGTTGGGCTGGTTTCGCTGAGCTCCCGTGGCCATCTTCCCGGCTGTGCTCGCTCCTGTCGGCACCCAAGCTCTGTGAACTGAGCTGCTTGGAAATCTCAGACCGTCTGTGCCCTGGCTGTGCTGCAGGGGCTTTGCTGGCAAGGAGAGGCCGTGAGCCAGCAGCAGTTCTTGCACCGGGGGTGCGCTTGTCACAGCGCGGCTGCGCAGGTTCCCCCTTGTTTAGATCTGGGCTGTCGTTGCCCCTGTCCTACCTTCAGCCGGGTGCACCCGGTCAGCACCGAAGGCAGAGCCTTCCCTTTGTCCCTGCACTGGTGTCGGGGTCTCCAAATCCCGTGAGAATGCGGGGAGGGATGGAGCAAGGGGATTCCCGTGGGTTTCTGAAGGAAGCAACACGGACTGTCGATCAAACCCGGTAACAGCAGCGTTTTTGCAGGCCGCCTAATCAATTCGATCCGGGTGATCTGCCACAGCTATGACGATTACCAGGAGTGGCTCTACTGTCTCAAAACAGCCCAGTTTCGAAACGCCGACTCCTCCCTCTCCGGATCAGAGAGTTTCTCGGGATCAAAGCTGCCACACCCCGGCCAGGTAACAGATGTTGTGGGTTTGCATGGTAATCAATAGATGTCTCGTGGGCCTCCTGTCTGTCCTGTCTCTGGCCACGTGCGAGTACTCTTGTGACACAGCAGACTTTGCTTCAGGTCCCCTGTTATGAAGTTTCTGATCCCTGCAAGCTATTTTGAAGCCCTATATTATGTTATCTAGGCATATATTATATTAAATTCCTTCAAAAGCGGACCACTGGCCACAGACTGTAACAGCGTTGTGCAGTGAGGCATTGGCACAAGGACGTTAAGAAGATCTTGCAAGGAAGGGGAGACCTACCCCGCCAGCACAGCAGCCGGGATGGGGTCAGGGGGCCTGAGCACCCTTCTCCCTGCTGCAAGCCCTCCTAATTTGCCCCTGTGGCCCGTGCAAGCTGGATTCAGCCGCCCTCTCAGCCCTTCAGGGCAGCCTGCGTGCCCCGGGCGGCTGCTTGCCATGCGGCACAGCCCACATCCAGGTGTGGCCCCGGCGTGCGGGCACAGAGGGCTGGGCTGGGCTGGCCCAGCGATGCTCGGGCGGGAGATGGGGCTGGGGAGGGACGTGCCTGTGGCCCTGCAGGGGGCTGTTTCTATACGCTGTTCTTCTCCCCCATCTAGTTTGCCGGCAGCGGGAGAGGGTCGCTCACTTCTGATGGCCGTACGAACTCCTGGGCGTCGGGAGGGAGAGTGGCCACCTTAACACACCTCTCCCAGAACAGCGGCTCTCTCCCTGATGGACAGTCCTTCGTGCTGATGCCTGATAGTAGGGTGCTCGAAGACCCCCTCTCCCCTGGCTATTCCCAGCCTCTCCACGTAAGTGAGCCCCCCCAAAAGCCTATGACACATGTGGGGACAGACACTGCCTTGGGGCAGAGCGGTCTCTCCGGGTGCCTGGATGGGCTGAGCTCCGGTGGTCAGTGTTTGCTGTGCGCAAATCCATGCCTGGAGCCTGTGTTTGCCCTGGCCCAGCTTTGTCACTGCTGATAAGGGATAAGTCTGCTGGAGAGTCCCATCCCCATCCCCCACTCTGCGTTAGGGGCTGTTGGTCTGCAGAAGGGCAAATGGGACTGTGCAAAGGTCGGGAAATCACCAAGTAAAAGCCTGTGGGTGGGTGGAGGTCTTTGCTCTGACCCCACGCAGCTTTTGTACGACCGGGGGGGTGGGGGGCGGGTG